CGGAAACAGGTTTGAAATAGGTCTGAACCAGGTCTGAAACAGGACTGAAGGAGGTCTGAAACAGGTCTGGACCAGGTCTGAAACAGGTCTGAAACAGGTCTGAAACAGGTCTGGACCAGGTCTGAAACAGGTCCGGACCAGGTCTGAAATAGGTCTGAAACAGGTCTGAACCAGGTCTGAAACAGGTCTGAAACAGGTCCGAAACAGGTCCGGACCAGGTCTGAAATGGGTCTGAAACAGGTCCGGACCAGGTCTGAAACAGGTCCGGACCAGGTCTGAAATGGGTCTGAAACAGGTCTGAACCAGGTCTGAACCAGGTCTGAAATTGGTCTGAAACAGGACTGAAGGAGGTCTGAAACAGGTCTGAAATAAGACTAAACATGGACTAGAACAGGTCTGAGCCAGATCGGAAACAGGTTTGAAATAGGTCTGGACCAGGTCTGAAACAGGTCCGGACCAGGTCTGAAACAGGTCCGAACCAGGTCTGAACCAGGTCTGAAATTGGTCTGAAACAGGACTGAAGGAGGTCTGAAACAGGTCTGAAATAGGACTAAACAAGGACTAGAACAGGTCTGAGCCAGATCGGAAACAGGTTTGAAATAGGTCTGAACCAGGTCTGAACCAGGTCTGAACCAGGTCTGAACCAGGTCTGAAATAAGACTAAACATGGACTGGAACAGGTCTGAGCCAGATCGGAAACAGGTCTGAAACAGGTTTGAAACAGGATTGAACCATGGCTGAACCAAGACTGAACTAGGTCTAAATCAGGACTGAACCAGGTCTGACCCAGGTCTAAACCAGATGTCATTCACGACTGAACCAGGTCTACACCACGTCTAACTCAGGACTGAATCAGGTCTAAACCATGGCTGAACCAGGACTGAACCAGGTCATCTGACTGAAGCAAAACTGAGGCATGTCATGCCACACTCCCCTCTGACGCGCTATATTGGACGAGGCGGGCCAGAGTGATGACTTCCCATTAAAAAGATCCGCATGTTTTTCCACATGTACCGTGTCTCTCCCCATGTTTGTTTGAAATATGTGTCTGTTTTGCTCTATGCTGTTGAATCTCTGCTGTTTATTCTACTGTTTGTCGCATGGCGCCGTAAAGATGGCGCCGTGGCAAGAGCTCTGGTGTGTGTCGTCTTCTGGTGCACACCGGGGTAGTCTTGCACAGTTTTCCAATGTGGTTTTACTGCAAATGGCAAATAAATGAATCTCTCATCTCTCTCTCTCTCATGTTTGAACCTGGGCTAAAGCAGGACCAGGACAGGACCAGGACCAGGACCAGGACCAGGACTGAGACAGATGTATACATACACACACCATAGTTCAGCAGTGCACTTGACAGCATCTGACTGTATCGACAAAGCCTTTTCACCTGATTTGTCAAAAAGCAGGACTCATATTATAAACATACAGATATTATGTTACAAAAAGTATCTGCAGCATTTCTAATACTACTACTACTACAATCTAGCCACAGCTGCCCCAGTAGCTCACCAACACTATGCTTTAACTAAATACTGTCTGTCTAATTCCCCTCTGTGCAAGAACAATGTCTCAAAAAGAACAAAACCAGGTCTAACCCAGATATAAAGCTCTATACCTTTTTTTAGCTTGCGCATCTGTTCTGCAGCTGGAGACACAGGAGAGACAGCAGGAAGTGAAAAAGAACGAGAAATCAAAGCAGATCCAGTCATCAGGCCTCAGGTTATTGGGCTTTAGAAGAATTGGTTTAAAATAATGTCGTAGTCTCCGTCACTTTGTAGGGAGACAGTAGCGACAATACTGTATAAAAAGGTACTAAAATACTGAAAATTTGACGATTAAGGACTATAACATGATTGACCAGGTGAATATCAAAGCACTCTAATATGAAAATAACGTCCTACTAAGACTTTATGGATCCAAAATAATTATTCTGTAACAAAGTGAATTTCTTAGTCCCTTTTTAATGTACATATTTTCAATTGTGTGCATTCATTCCCCAACTGCTAGTTTAATCCTTGGTTTATTGTCAGTTATCACACTGTTGCATTTGGTTTGAGTTTTCTTTCACCTGATTGAGGACGTGCCTTAGTCCGCCATGTTGTGGCCTTGGGTCTTTGATTTACTCCTTTTTAAGATTTTGAGTCCGCCTCTCACTTTGACACCTGGGCCAGCTTCAAGTCCATAAACCCTGTTCTAATAACGACCCTAGAGACATAAAAATACGTCCTGTGTAATTTCCTGCAGCAAAGAGAGGTCCTTGTATCAGCTCTCTCTGCTGGTCACATAAACACACCGGGAAGTAGGGGTGGAAACCTCAGGGTACATCACAATACGATACAATATGCGATACAAAGCTCATGATAACGATTATCTCACGATATGACGATGCAGCGATTATCGATATATTGGTCAGTCGAGTAGAGGAAAGTTCTACTGAAATCACCAGTCTCAGACAAAAAGCTGAGAAAAAGAGGCACAAACAAGTGCATCTTATTTTCAAAACATCCAGAGGCAGCGCTGGTGCCACCTGCTGGCTCGATAAAATATGCTCTAAAACTAATCCCCATGCATTTTAGATATAATAGACATCTGGAAACATGAAAATAGTGAAAAACTTATTAACACGTCAATGGCAGACAATGATATTGGTACTTAGCAAAAGCATATCGATAATCGATTGCGTGAGAAAGTATCACGATACATCACCATATCGATATATTGTCACACTCCTACCAGGAAGCAGGAATGTGTGGTTTGCCATCAGCTCTGGAGATCAACAGCTGGTAGAGTTGTAGCCAAATCCTTTCTTGCGTCCCAGGGGGAGCTCGAACATACATTAAAATGCATACATCTCCATATAAACCTTTTTTCAGGTCTAGAAAGTACTGTATGCAAATATATAAGGATACAGAGTTTGACAAGAGTCCCATGGATAGTCTTGTCTCATGTGAAAAACTGGACCGTTCTGAATCATTCCAGACAGATAATAGATATAGCAGACTTTAATATTCCTGGATCCACATTTGTTATTATGGTTTTCATATAATACTGAGCGACACTGAATATGTTTCCAGATGCTTCTATTCCCTGGACACCGACACAGACCTCTTCATGATAATATTTGTATTTAGGGCAACTTTGAACTACTGCGAAAATAGCAACATACCGCTACTAATACTATTAATACTACTGATACTACTCGTACTACTGCATTACTTTTAAAGGGTCATTGTGTAATATTTTCATTTGCACATCCAGACAGGGCTTTTCTGTGTGGATTTTGCATGGTCTCCCCGTGTTGGCCTTGATTTCCTCCCGGTGACTTACATTGGACAGAAAAGTCCTCTATCTTTAAAAATCCGTGGTTTAGCGCTCTCTGTGATCCTGGTGTTTATGTTTTTTATATTGTCGTTGTAAATCCAGATGCATTCATTGCCATAGCAACTGTCTTAGCAACACTTCTGCCACTGTTACAGCATGAAGCTAACGCCGCAAAAAATAGATATAAAAGTATGCATAACATTTTTTATACATTTCTAGAATTGAAATACACACAATAGACTTTCAACCCTGCAGATTATCAATAACAATAAGTGACTAGGAATTTGAGATTATAAATTGGCAGAAGTATGAAGTTTACTAGAGGTGTATGAATACTTTTGCCAGTGTCTCACAATATAATCTGTATGTTTGTGGTTGGAACAAGACGAAATATGCAAAAGTTCTAGTTGTATTGTAGTTTTGCGAGGCACTATATTTCAAGTGAGACACTTTCTCCTCCTCCCCCTCTCCTTTTTGTCTCTCCTCCCCCTCTCCTCCTCCTCCTCCTATCTCTTTATTTGGTTGCCAGGAAAAGCAGATTTCAGCAGAACCGGATCTGGACTTGATTTGTGTCTCATGTCTCTGCAGCTGTACCCTCTTTCTCTCTCTTCTCCTTCACCAAATTCCAGCTCTCACTCCATGTGTCATTATTGGACTACTGCGAATGCCTCTAAGACGGGAAGTGACTGAGGCGGCTCGGTATGTGGACAAATATCAAGTTCACCCATTTATAATCCAAAAAAACCCCAGACAATTTTATATTCTCTTCAGAATTTTCTCATCGCTGTTGCATTGGATTCAGTGGATAAATACGTTTGCAAAATCCTCTTTCTAGAGCTGTCAACCACTGTCAACACGGCCAACCACCAGAAACAGACCTGCAGTAGTGTTTAGCTACATCCATGCTCTTGTAACAGATTCACACAAACAAGTCCCCCCTTTTAGAACTTTTGTCTAAAAGATTTTATTTTCATTTCTTGCCGTGGGCGGCTGAGTGGATAGCACTCTCGCTTCTCAGCAAGAAGGTCCTGGGTTCGAATCCTGGTCGGTACAGGGCCTTTCTGAGTGGAGTTTGCATGTTCTCCCCGTGTCTGCGTAGGTTTCCCCTACCACTAAAAACATGCACCATAGGTCTGAATGTAGATGAGAGAGTGAATGGATGGTGTTGATTGGAGCTGATGGTCCAGTGTGTTCGGCGACTCACTTCTGTCATCGCCGTGTATGGAATGATTGGAACATTATCTGACTCTGAACATTATAAAGCAAAATGCGCAATATAAATGAGCATTACTTACTTACTTTTTTCAAAGAGCAGTATGGAAAAATCTGAAAATGAAAATCTTACTTATTGCTACTTTAAGTAGAGTTGTGCTATACCTAAAATATTAATCTATCTTGTGTTGTGTGCTACTGAAATTCAAAAGATTTTAATACATACTTGTATATGTATATACTTGTATTGCTTCATTTTTTGAGGTTTGAAAGTTACATGTACCAGCTTTAATAAATTATTCCACATTCTCAAAAATGAACTGTGTAAGTCACAATGAAAACAAAAAAAGCATGTATGCATTTTATTATTCTTTAAAAGCTCAAAAAGGTCAAATGAACATGATTTTACCCGCTGCATACACGGCTACTGCACATGTGGCTTTAAGATATTTCCTTTTCTTGTTCCACAGATGCTGATTCTCCGCGGGTCATAAACGTGATTCTGTCTGATCAGAAACACCACTTCCTGCTTCCTGTGGGATATGTCCTCACTTCCTGTTTGCTACTGGCCTTCATCGTGCTCATCATCCTCCTCATCACTCGCAGACGACAGAGAAAAGGTGACGAGGAGGAGAATATGTAGCCATAAATCACAACTTCAGTCGTCTCAAAGGACTTTACAAAGATTCGCCAGCAACAGATCAAAGAATCAAACAGTTGGAACACAGAAAATACAATAACAATACGCACATAGGAGCCATTGATCCCATGGGAGTGGGATGGCCGCTGTCCATAGATGTTAATAAATCAATCAATCAATCAAATTTGATTTACAAAGGGATTTTCCGACAAAAAAAATCATACAATCACACACACACAAACACACACAAAATCACTAAGGAGGACATTTGAGTAAATGTCCTCCTCCATCGACAAGTAATGACTATAAAAAGCTGGTGGGAAAAATGTGAGAAACCTGAGGGAGGCCCAAAGTGAGAGAGTGATCCATTCCCACAGACAGACACGCGATAGATCCAGGACCGAGGCTGTAGATCCAGGACCGAGGCTGTAGATCCAGGACCGAGGCTGTAGATCCAGGACTGAGGCTGTAGATCCAGGACTGAGGCTGTAGATCCAGGACCGAGGCTGTAGATCCAGGGCCGAGGCTGTAGATCCAGGGCCGAGGCTGTAGATCCAGGACTGGCCATCCGTAAACATTATTTCCATGCATATAACGTCTGGGTCTGGGTCCTGTGTTTGCGATTACAATCGGTTGAATTTTGACCGACCAATCAGCGAGCGTGGGAGGCAGGTGTTGTAGTTAGTTGTGGGTGACGTCAAGAGTTTGCGTCGAACAGGCAGGTTGTAGTCTGGCAGTGGCGAAGAACGCGTTAGTAAAGTAATCCGGTCTGGTTCTATCAAGAAGTTGAAGCCGGAGAAAGAGGAATGTTTAGCAAATGTAATCGCTGGCAAAGACTGGTGCTACTCCCCACGGGCTCCGTTAGCGGCAAAGGCTAACGACTTTAAATGGCTAAAGCTAGGCTAAAAGCTAACGACTCACTCGGGCGCATTACATACGTAACGTAAACTCAGATCCAATCGTTTCAATCTGCAAAAGGAGTTAACCCCTCCCACCTGTTCACGGAGTCAATGGAGCAAATCCAGACCTTAGTACCAAATGTAATTTGTAATATGGTGTGGTGCGACCAGGCTATGTGGCTCCAGGAGTGAAGGGGCTCCCAGGCGGAGAAAGGGGGGTGAAGGTCTATGCCACTAAGAATCACTGATTTGATGACTTTTCTGACCAAGTAAATTAATCTAAATTACATATTCATTTATTGTAATTGATGCAAAATATATGCAAAAACGCCATAAATTAAAATCTTTAATTCAAGTTCTTAAAATAATACAGAAATACAGATGAATAAAGGCTATTCTATAGAAAACTTTTGTGAGTAAAACACATGGCAAATGGTTAATAATCATGATAGTATTCAATGTTTTTCACCGTTAAATGGATTTAAAACTCATCTTTGTTGTTGTTGTACTGTCTTTCAGAGCCGTATCCACAGGCGTCGACACGGTGAGTCTCATCCATGTTATTGTGAAAATAACACAGTTTTTATTGAAGGTTGGGAGACTAAAGATAAGATACAAGACCTTTTATTCATCCCACAGTTTCAGTGCACATGACATGGTAAATAGCTGTAGATGCTTTTGTTTTGGAATCTCCTGTCCTTAGTATGAACTTACACTAAGGAAGAATCTCGGAAAGTGACTCCACTGTAATTTAGCAGGATATGAGTAGAATAATTATATGAAGTGACTAAGGTCGGTCATAGTTAATTAAAGGTCTCTAACAATAACATTTAGGGACTTTTCAAGCTAGAGATTTTCTCTCAAAAACCAAGTTACTCACTGCCTTCATAGATGAGCTCTGTCTGTGATGGTAATATTACAGATGTACATTTATATACGAATGTTTGTTAAAGTACAGTATTGTAAAAACTGAATCTGGATACTAAATACTGGTATATGTAATTGAACTCTGGCAATGTTCTTAGAGTTCACATGTGATTTTATTGCATCCTCTGTCATATTTAATGGATATATAATTAATTTCAGTGGTCCTTCACTAAAGCATGGTTCAGTTTTCGTGATCTTGCTGTTTTTTTGTGCGCTTCTCATGTGCCTGTATACTCCCAACAACATCATATAACCGCTAGTATAACATGACAGTTTCTCTCTGTGGTCTATCTTTCTGGACTCCCTCTGGTCTCTCTGTGGTCTATCTTTCTGGACTCCCTCTGGTCTCTCTGTGGTCTATCTATCTGGACTCTCTGGTCTCTCTGTGGTCTATCTTTCTGGACTCCCTCTGGTCTCTATCTGGACTCTCTGGTCTCTCTGTGGTCTATCTTTCTGGACTCCCTCTGGTCTCTCTATCTGGACTCTCTGGTCTCTCTGTGGTCTATCTATCTGGACTCTCTCTGGTCTCTCCCTGGTCTCTCCCTGGTCTCTCCCTGGTCTCTCCCTGGTCTCTCTCTGGTCTCTCTCTGGTCTCTCCCTGGTCTCTCCCTGGTCTCCCTGGTCTCTCTCTGGTCTCTCTCTGGTCTCTCTGGTCTCTCTCTGGTCTCTCTGTGGTCTATTTATCTGGACTCTCGCTGGCCTCTCTGGTCTCTTTGTGGTCTATTTATATGGACTCTGATCTCTCTGTGGTCTATCTATCTGGTCTCTCCCTGGTCTCCGCCTGGTCTCTCTCCCTAGTCTCTCCCTGGTCTCTCCCTGGTCTCTCCCTGGTCTCTCCCTGGTCTCTCCCTGGTCTCTCAGTCCTGCTCCTGTCCCTCAGAGCGGTCTCCTCTACAGCTGTATTTTACACGTCCAGGATGTCACTTATTACTGGTTATTCGTAGAACACATAACCCTTTTTCGATAAACGTATCTACTGAACACATTTCATTCTTACACATTGAACTGTTGACGTGTGTCTCTTCAGGTGGAGCCGCAGTGAGAGCAGTTCAGAGGAGCTGGAGATGGAAGTGTCTGAGGTGAACGTGTCCAGAGAAGAGCCGCTGTTCGGTCAGTTAAACACATAAAGTAAAAGTTCTGCAAAAACAAAAAAACTTGAAAAAGTCATAATTCTCCAATATAAAAAGGATTGAGTCACTGTTTTTTCTTGAGAATACATACTTTCAATTTGTGATTAATTTGTGATTTTGACAAAAAAAGAAACATGTGTAATATTAGGCTATAGAAGAAATGTGTGATCACAAAAAATTACAAATATTAATGTCCCATAATGTTATCCTCAGATTACAAAAACAACCTGCTGAAGGCAAAGGCCCATCGGAACTCAGAGCCCAAAGTAATCGACCTGGACAAAGGTACAGTTTAAATCTAAAATATACACAACATCTCATATCTCTTATTTTATGTCATATTTTTGTTATTATTAAAATTATCTATTTTGTTTAGTTCTAGAAATTTGTATCAAAAGTGACCAATGCTTTTAAATAAACATGAATGAAGAGGAAAACAATATATATATTTGACTGTAAAAAGTTACTCAGTTATTAAGAAGCCATTTTTGTTTTTATTTACTGTTTTGTAATTAATTAATATTATGCATGCGTTTATACATATGTTTATTTTTACTTTTGTATCATTTGAGAGAGAAACCAGTGAGAGACTAGAGGGAGAGATCGGAGAGAGACCAGAGAGAGACCAATCAGGGGCAGAGAGAGCGACTGGAGAGGGACAGAGAAAGTGGAGAGAGAGACCAGAGAGAGCGGAGAGAGCATGGAGAGAGCGGAGAGAGAGACCAGAGAGAGAGACCAGAGAGAGCGGAGAGAGAGAGCGGAGAGAGAGAGCGGAAAGAGCATGGAGAGAGAGCGGAGAGAGAGACCGGAGAGAGAGACCAGAGAGAGAGACCAGAGAGACCGGAGAGGGAGACCAGAGAGAGCGGAGAGAGCATGGAGAGAGAGCGGAGAGAGAGACCGGAGAGAGAGACCAGAGAGAGCGGAGAGAGCATGGAGAGAGAGCGGAGAGAGAGACCGGAGAGGGAGACCAGAGAGAGACCAGAGAGAGCGGAGAGAGACCAGAGAGAGCGGAGAGAGCATGGAGAGAGAGCGGAGAGAGAGACCAGAGAGAGCGGAGAGAGCATGGAGAGAGAGCGGAGAGAGAGACCGGAGAGAGAGAGCGGAGAAAGCATGGAGAGAGAGCGGAGAGAGAGACCAGAGAGAGCATGGAGAGAGAGACCGGAGAGAGCAGAGAGAGCGGAGAGAGCATGGAGAGAGAGCGGAGAGAGAGACCAGAGAGAGAGACCGGCGAGAGAGACCGGAGAGAGCAGAAAGAGCGGAGAGAGAGACCAGAGAGAGCGGAGAGAGAGACCAGAGAGAGCGGAGAGAGAGACCGGAGAGAGCAGAGAGAGCGGAGAGAGGGCGGAGAGAGACCGGAGAGAGAGACTGGAGAGACAGACCGGAGAGAGAGCGACCAGAGAGAGACCACATAAAGACAGAGACCAGATAGAGACAGAGAAAGGGACCAGAGGGAGCGGAGAGAGCATGGAGAGAGAGCGGAGAGAGAGAGTGCAGCGAGAGACCAGAGAGAGACAGAAAAACCAAAGCAAATTCCTTGTCTGTGACTTGCAATTCTGCTTCTCTGCTGCAGAAATGGAAAAGTTTCGTAAATGATGGCACAGCTGCAGTCGCTGGCTGGACCAGAGGCGAAACCACAGCAAAGACTGAAAATCTCCAAAAAGTCCAGAACATTCACTAAAGAAATGTTCAGTTTAATAAATGACAAATATGTTTTTCTCTCGTGACCGGACTCCTTTAGGTCTCAGCGCCACCTGGAGGATGCAATGGCTCTGTATACTGATAAACTGTAAATAATATTGAACAACATTGGGTTCAGACTTTTGAATGTGTATTGCTTTATTTTGAATTTAAACTTTTTGGTCCATATTTGCACTATGTATTGGTTTTAACATATCGAAACATCTTTTAAGACTTTGTCCCTTTTCTTGCTAAATAAAGTACTTTCTGGACTATTACACTCACCTGGTTACAAACAAAATCAGCTACAAAGAACATTTTTTACACATACAGGCCTCACTTGAATATAAGCTGCTGGTTTTCATATTGTGATGATGTTACTGAGGATGCTGTCATTCATCAGGGAAACTCTAGCTTGCCTAGACAAAAATTATTAAAAAAATGGCGTAATAATTGCTTGAATCGAGTGGTTTTTATCTTAACTCATTGACTGCCAGCCGTTTCTGATGACCACTGACTTTCCAGACCCACAGAATATTGTGTGCTATGACGGTGTGAAATATAAAACCAGATTCTGAAAGATACGTTTCATCAGCAAAGATATGTTGGTGTTTGATGTTTCTAGCTAGTTTTGATCTTCTGTAATCTCCAGGCGAATAGAGGGAAGCTTGACAGAGATCACCATTCTCAAACAAATACGTCAATGGCAGTCAATGAGTTGAGTAGATTGTGACGTCTCAAAACACGATTTTCCAATGAGCCAAACCGTTCAGTATTATTTCTAGACCTTTTGCTTTATTTTCTCATTCCAAGAGAAACATTTCTTGAATCTTTTTAAAACAAAATAGTCAAAATGTGCACAAATTAAGATACATTTTCACAAATTTGTCCCCAGTGCCGACGTACAAATGCCTTTGCACGTAAACCACTTGGTCTAGTGGGGATGAGGCTTTACTGAATTTCCATATAAGGAAATTGGCTCCAGCTATCTTATGTTCAAATCGGCTTCTTCTGCATTAAAGTTAACACTGTGGCAACGTCAGCATTCAATAAGTCCACTCTTAACAGTCTGTGACACTTACAGCAAAAGCCCTAATCTTTGTTTGTAAAGTCTAAATGTTTTTGTTTAAATAATGTCTTGTTTTATAGCACCAGTGACTCTTGTATATCTTGTAAAATGCATTTCTGTCTGTGCTTGTTTTGTTATAAATAAAAGCTGATTCCTGGATAGTTGCTCCCACATGGTGCAGAGTTTGACTGGTTTTCGAGCGCGTGTCTCATTGTTTGGAGGTTTTTTTTTCTTCTTTTGGACAAATATTTACTGCATCTGGAAGTGATTTTGAGATCACAAAATCACAACACATGGCCTGTGGAGAACGTGTGATGTTATTGTGGGCTGTTGACTGATACTGTTTACTCTGCCCCCTTGAAAATAGTTTTTAAGTTGTAAGTCATTATAACTAAGTTTACATATTGCCACTGTGCCGCGTAGCTAACATGAAATACAATACCCAACATGCATTGCGACAATACTGTTAGTGGTCTAGAACATCAGACCTACAACAATGATAATATGACAGAGCTATTTTCCATTATTATTTAGACATGGGATGGATTCACGGTGACTTCAACATAAAACCCTTTTCTAACAAAATGAAGACCCCATATTAAACATGTCTCCTTTCACACTTCCATTTACTTTCTAAAATGCTCACCTGAGGAGTAGCCCCTGACTGCAGTCCGCAGATCGGGGCGGAGCTCAACGTGGGCGGAGTCAAACGTTTGACTCCGTCCACGTTGAGCTCCGCCGAGGCCGAGCGGGAGCTAGGCATTGAGGACTGTGCGTATGACAGAGAAGGAGAAGAAGCAGAGGAGAAGAAGAGCTAAGTAGCTGGCAGAATGGAGGTACTGTAGGCCAGTTTTTTCATTCTGTTTTAACGTGCAACTTTGCTATATTTGTTACCGACAAGGAAAGAAGTAACATTATTTTTATTTTAAAATAAGTTCTACGTCATGGTGCTACGTCCCTTAGGACTTCGCTAGTGGGATATCACTCGTGACCCCCAGGTCACGCGCCAGAGAGATCAAATAATTTGCTCCAATCACCAGCCACCTTCCTCTATAAATGCCCCTGCACAAGGCCGCACCCCCCTTTCACTCTGGCGCCGATTGAGATCTACATTCAATTACCTGAGGAAAGATGTCTTCCGATGCTCGTCCGAGTTCCCCTTCGCCATCCGGCGTCGGACGTCGTCGTTGCTCGACTTGTCGGGTCAAGCTCCAGCGCAAGGACCAGCACTCCAGCTGCTTCCTGTGCCTGGGTTCGGGCCATGCGGCGTTGAGCGCCACCTGCGCCTCGTGTGTCGCTCTCCCCAGGGAGGAGAGTGAACGCAGGCGCGCGTTCTTCGCCGCTACAGCGCCCCGTCCGGACCCCTCTCAGGACGAGGGGTCTGCGATTGACTGGGCCCCCCTCGACCTTCCACCCGTGCCCGCGGAGTGGGGTGACTGCGAGGACGGAGAGGTGTCGGAGGTCGGCTCTCTCTTCACGCTGGACGAGGTGGTGTCCAACCCGGAGCCGGACCGCTTCCCGCTGGACCACATGCCTGGGCTCTACGCCACGGCGGCGGCCATCATGGATGCCCCCCTGCCACCGCAACCGAACCAGAGGGTGGAGGACTTCACCTCTGGTTACGCCACCCCTCGAGGGAGGAGGAGAGCCCAGCCCACGTTGTGCCCGCGTATGGACCCGATCGTCCATTACGCGACACGTGAGTGGCCAAAGCCCCTAGCGGCCAAGAGGCCCGCTTTGGGGTATGGCATGTACTGTAACGTGCAGGACTGGTCCTGGACCGGCGGGGTCCCGGACATCGAGGACTCGGTTCGGGCGGCCCTGCACCCCTCCACATCCGTGTGGCCCAGCACCAGACCTCTCCTTCCCTCCGAGCGGGATAGGATGTCTTTGGCGATGCACGACAGATGTTACGCCAATGCGGCTCAGGTCGTCGCGGTGGCTAACAACATGGCCTTCATCACCGGGGCCCTGGATAGGTCTCTCTCTTCTGACCAGGCACTCAGTGGAGACACCTTATCCCAGGCGAGGACCACTTCAGCGGCGATCTTGCGCATGTGCCAAGCGCTAGCTGTCGATGGCGGCCGCACGATGGCAGCAGCACAAGTTGGGGCCAGACACCTCTGGCTGGGGTCGGTGAATCTCAGAGAGGCGGAGAAGAGGCAGCTGCTGGACCTGCCCATCTCCCAAACGTCACTCTTCGGTCCGGAGATGCAGACGCTGATAACGAGGCTGGACACCGCAGCTAAGGACTCTGCTAGCCTAGCCAAGCATCTAGCTGCGAGACGCGAGGCCCGCCCACCAGCGCGGAGCCGAGACCGAGGCAGGGAGCGCTCGCCCGGCAGGCGCCCCGGACCCTATCCACGCTCCGTGGTCCATCGTTCCCCAGCGACGAGACCCCCGGGCCCAGACAGGCACACGGGAGGTTCGCGGGACCAACACACCCAACGACGACCTCCCTATGGCAGAGGAGGTCGGGGTGGGAAAAATGTTTTCAATAAAGGCCGTCCGGCATTTCATCAGTACTCGCTGTCTGAGTCTCATTTGGGGGTATGTAACATGTCAAATGATTTGAATTCTGATTGTGTTACTTCTCGAGCATATAACGTGGCTCCGCTAGGCCTGCAGCCCCCAGAGAAGGGCGTGCAGCGCGCTATGCGGGCCACGGGCTCCGGTTCACGGGTTCATGTTTTGCCCTCCCGGAGAGAGGGCAGGCGGAGGGATCTGGTAAGTGATAATGTGTGTGCTCCAGCCGAACGCGTGTTAGCATCTCTGAGCTACAAGGCTAACACGGGGTTTCCCAATCCAGGGGCTAGTCCCCCCCTCCATGAGGCAAGAGCCGAGGGGGGGCACAGCAGCCGTGTCACGTGTGGTGAGCAGAGCTACAAGGCTAACACGGGGTTTCCCACTCCAGGGGCTCGCCCCCCCCTCCATGAGGCAAGAGCCAGGGGGGGGCACAGCAGCCGAGTCACGTGTGGTGAGCAGTCCCGTACTTATGACGTCGGGCCTGCAGAACACGTGACCGCCTTCGGCGCTCACGGTGTGACGCAGGGGCCCCCCCGGCCCTTTCAGCCACCCCCCCTCCCTGCTAGGAACACCAGGAGGGGGCGGGGCCGTGACGTCTCGTGTTCCAACTCCCGTTCCGCCCCTCACAGATTTCTACACCATCTGGAGGGAGCAGGGCCTACTGACAGATATTTGGCTGGAGAAAACTCTGCGCAGAGGTTACGCTCTGCAATTTTTCCGAAAGCCACCACCATTCCGAGGCGTACGGGCAGTACGCTCTCAGGTACGGGGATCGACAGAGGCACTAGAAGCGGAGGTCTCCTCTCTGCTGAGTCGAGGCGCAGCAGTGGAGGTAGACCCGCAGGACGCCACCAGGGGGCTGTACTCCCCTTACTTCTTAGTGCCAAAGAAGTCAGACGGGGTGCGTCCCATTCTGGATCTGCGCGTGTTAAACGAGTGCATTTCCAAGCGGCAGTTTCGGATGCTGTCCACAAGGCAGCTCCTCGAGTGTGTCAGGGAAGGAGACTGGATGACTTCCATAGACCTGACAGACGCTTATTTCCACGTGCCCCTTAGTGCCAGAACACAGGAGGTTTCTGCGCTTCGCAGTGGGAGAGAGGAATTACGAGTACTGCCGTCTCCCCTTCGGGTACGCACTCGCGCCTCGCACCTTTTCCAAATGAGTGGAAGCAGCTCTGGAGCCGATCAGACGTGCGGGGGTAAGAATATTAACCTATATAGACGATTGGTTAATACTGGCCCCATCCAGGGAAGTGGCCGTGAGCCACACGCACTGGGTCCTGTCCCACATACAGCGTCTGGGCTTTGTGGTGAACAGGGAGAAGAGCAAGCTGCAGCCAGCCCAACGCATGGTTTACCTCGGTCTGCAGCTGGACTCTGTGATATTCCGTGCTGCATTGTCCGTGGACAGACGGATGAATATTACCCGTCTGGCCCGGGAGGTTCTGGCGGGCCCCAGAGTCCCCGCTCGGCGCCTCAGGTCCCTGCTGGGAATGATGGCAGCGGCTCATGCTGTGGTGCGGCTAGGCCTGCTCCACATGAGAAATTGTCAGAGGTGGTTCTCGCGCCTCAGGCTTCACCCCTCCCGGGACGGGGGGAGGCTGATCTGGGTTCCCCAAGGGGCGGCATCGGACATCAGGTTCTGGCTCACTCCGGGTCTATTGCGGGACGGAGTGACTCTGGCCTGCGCTGTGTCTCACGTCGAGGTGTTCACGGACGCGTCGCTCGAAGGATGGGGCGGGGTCCTCGGCCAGAGCTCTGTAGGAGGCTGCTGGTCGGACTCAGCCCGTCACATCAACCTGCTGGAGATGGAGGCAGTGCACAGAGTACTGCTGCACTTTGCCCCTCAGTTGCAGGGGAGACACGTGATGGTGCGCTCAGACAACACCACAGTGGTCTCCTATCTGAACAGGCAGGGGGGCACCAGGTCCCCCGCTCTCCATCGCATGGCGACGGTGACGCTGCTGTGGGCGGCGCTTCACCTCCTGTCTCTCAGGGCGCGCCACGTCCCGGGGGTCCGGAACGTGGGAGCCGACAGAATGTCCAGGGGGGGCCCACTCCAGGACGAGTGGGGCCTGGCCCCACGGGTAGCTGCGGAGATCTGGCGGAGGTTCGGCCGTCCAGTAGTCGACCTTTTCGCCAGTGCAGAGAACGCACAGTGCCCGTCCTGGTTCGCCTTAAGGGCCGCGGACGAGCCGCCTTTAGGCGTGGACGCTCTGGCTCATTACCCATGGCCAGGCGGCCTGTTGTACGCTTTGCCACCGGTGCGTCTCCTGCCGGTCCTGCTGCGGAGGATCGAACAGGAGAGGAGATCGGTGATTCTGGTGGCTCCGGACAGTCCGCATGGCCGGTGGTTCCCCTTCCTGAGGGGCATGGCGGTGATGGAGCCCTGGGCCCTCCCGGACGAGCCGGGGGCTCTAGTCCAGGGGGCAGGAGCCCTGTTTTCACGTCCGATAATCGGCCGCAGGCTCTGGGTTTGGAGGCTGAGAGGCGGAGCCTCGTAGATCTGGGTCTTCCCCCTGCGGTGGTGGAGACTATTCAGGGAGCGAGGGCGCCGTCCACCGTGAGGGCCTACGCCACGAGGTGGAGGCTATTCAGTGTCTGGTGCGATTCCCGTTCCTGGGATCCCAGGTGTTGCCCGCTGGAGGGGGTCCTGGGATTCCTACAGGAGTTTTTCGACAAGGGGAGGGCTGTCGCTACCTTGGCGGTGTTTGCGGCAGCCATTACTTCGGGTCACGACGGGTTCGGGGGGTTCACAGCCCGCTCTCACCCGTTGGTTAAACGTTTTCTGCGGGGGGCGCGCAGGAGGAGGCCCCCGCTCCAGAGAACGCCTCCGGTTTGGGACCTCAGGGTGGTCCTTAGGGGGCTGTCGGGTTCGCCATTTGAGCCGGCGGCGGAGGCGAGTCCCGAGTGTATCGCTTTTAAGACGGCCCTCTTACTGGCGTTGGCGTCTGCTAAAAGGGCGGGCGATTTGTGTGCGCTCTCCGTCCATGCGTCGTGCCTGTCCTTTGGAGAGGACGACGGCATGGTGGAGTTGTGGCCCAATCCGGCTTTTCTCCCCAAGGTCATCACGTCGGCCTTTAGGTCGAGAGTGATCAGGATTAGGGCTTTCCACCCGCCGCCGCATGCCTCCCCCGAGGAGGAGCGGCAGCACCTTCTGTGTCCTATCAGAATGCTGAGGCATTACCTGGCCATGACGTCGTCATTCAGGTCGGGTGATCAGCTGTTTGTGTGTCTGGGCCCCAAGAACAGGGGCGCCCCGCTGTCGGCTCAGCGGCTGGCGCATTGGGTC